GGAGTCAGGGCACTTTTACTTTCAGCCGTTGGAGTCAGGGCACTTTTAATTTCAACCGTTGGAGTCAGGGCACTTTTCCTTTCAGCCGTTGGAGTCAGGGCACTTTTACTTTCAGGTAATGGAGAGGGGGCTTTCGGAGCAGGTGATTTGGGCTCTGGGCTCGGGGTGGGTGCAGGTTTTGGATCAGCTGGACTCAGACTAAACTTAGGCTCAGGGGTTAAGGCTGGGCTGAGCTTAACATCTGCAGGTTTGGGCACGTCTAGCTTAATCTCAACTGGTGGATCCGGGGTTTTCGTGGGCTCGGGGGTTTTTGTAGGCTCAGGTGTTGGAGGGGCTTTAGTTTTAACTACTGGACTTGATTTTACTTCCACAGCAGGAGGAGTGCTTGGCTTGGACTCGGCAGCAGCAGCAGCGGGCGGGGGGCTTGGCGGGGCTTCAGAGACGCTTACAGCCACAGAGTCGAGGTTATGATCGGCGGCATCAGTGTCAGTGTCCAGAGGGAGGGCGGTGTTAAACCCAACGCCAGAGTCACTGGTGTCGAGGTTACCGATCCCAACCTCTTTAGAGGAAACCTCCAGACCCTGAGATTAAAACAGACAACAAGGTAAGGCAGGTGTATTTGGATCGCTTCCCTTTCAACAACAAGGCACTTCAAAGGGCTTTACAGAAGACATAAAAAGATGTTAGGACAAGGTAAATCAGACACAAAGGGATATAAATAGACACATAAATAAAATGGAAGGTTTTAATAAGAGGAGAAATTATTGAAACAGGTCCCAGCTCAGCTACAGTGCAGTGCAAGAAAGAGTCCAAAATGAAATGTAATTATAGGAAGAGGCAAACAGAAACTTTAGAAGGAGTTGTTTAAAAGAACGGAGATCCCGAGCACGTCTCTGGTCTTCTGGGAGTTTGCTCCAGATACTGCCCACTGTTTTTATTATAGTCAGGGCGGTAAGCAGGCCAGTCCCAGAAGACCTGAGAGGTTTTGGATGGTTCATAACATAGCAGCAGATCAAAAAATCTATTTGGGCTTTAAACCATTCATTGCTTCAACCAACAGGAGTAGATATAAAATGAATTCTTCACTGCAAAGATCTGAGACCTGGACTGATGCGATCCGCTCTGGTGAAGTGAGAGAGGACTCTAGCAGCAGCATTCTGAATAAACTGCAGCCGTCTGAACGCAGGAAATAGTTTAGTCAATTCAGACATTATTAAAACCTCTCAAAGACTTAAGAAAGAAATGTTAAATATCCTTACTTTGATATCCACCTCAGTGCTCTGGGACTTCTCTGTGTTGTCGGCCTGGGAGTGCTTGGAGTCTTCACTGAGTTTGGTGATGTTCTTGACCACCTGAGAAAATGCACATAGACAAGAGTAGTCATGTAATGATATCAGGATAAGGCACGTTCACACCAAGTACTTTTCCCACAAAGGTTCCTGATAACTCTTTAGTTCTCATGAACTAAGTACAGATCGCGTTCACACCGGCAATTAGTTCCTGGGGGTGGATTAGGCAAATGAAGCCGCTGACGTCACTTCTTCTTCTTCTGCTTTGGGTTTACTGGCAACCCGCAAACAACTTCACGGCGTATACTGCCGCCCGGAGTCCCCGGCCGGAAGTCCCCGGAGTTGGGGACTGGCTTCAGTAGAAGCTGCTGGGACTCCCTGAAGCCTTCCGAGTAAATCGCCAGAACGCCGACACCTCCTCATCTCCACCGCTCCCATGTTTTATTTTGTGTTGTCATAAGTTAGTCTCTCTGCGTTTCTGCGCTGGGCTAATGGTAATGCTAATAATGCAATGCGAGGATAATAAAATGGCTGCTTCACAAAACATTTTAGAGTTTTACGGGACGTGGTTTGCAATTCGCCCAGCCAATCAGAACTGGGGCACTTTTTTCCCCCAGGAA